GTGTGTGTGTGTGTGTGTGTGTGTGTGTGTGTGTGTGTGTGTGTGTGTGTGTGTGTGTGTGTGTGTGTGTGTGTGTGTGTGTGTGTGTGTGTGTCGCTGTACACTATAGTGCCATATACATAATAATATTATACGGACGAGCCTTCGTCGTAAACGCCTTTTCCTACGGAACGGAACACATATTTACGTAATAATAATATAGACTACATTTTATTATTATATACGTAGGTAGTTGCAATAGCAATTTTTCATATGTTTTTTTTTTTTTTTTGTATAAAATATACGTTTCAATCGTCGTCTTCGTCCCGTCATCGCGTGACGGAATCGTCGTTAGTTCGCCCGTCACGTCTTGTAACACACTCTTCGAGGGAAAATCGCTTACCCAGTTTTCTTATTTTAGGTTTTGCGTATCGATGTCGCGCCGACTGATTAACAGCGACGATTATCGACGGGCAAATGCGTTTGGTCGGGGGCTGCTGGCTTAGACAGGCATTTCTAGTAGTCCGATCAAAGATTTAGTATAATAGTGCTTGGATATTTGTATGATTTATGGTCGTTTTATTATTTTTCATTTTAGTATTATACGACTCGTTGGTAAAATAATTATGTATATAATGTATATTTAACTCCCATATAATAAAAAAAAAAAAACATATTATTATATTATATAAAGCGTATTTCACGGTAGTTAAAAATTTGATTGACATTCGCTTTCGTGTTTCGCACTTGGACTAAATTATACATGTGTAATATAATTATCTTACATTAATCAACTGGTCTAATTTTAGGCACTTTATACGTTACATGTATTTTTTATATTTATATGTCATACAATGCACTGCAGTGCTACCACGCTTAAAAGTATATGTACATAAATATAATAAACGACGTCCAACGTACGTATTCGATTAATGGTTTTTTATATAATACATCAAGGTTGTGAGTTTTCGTCTGAATAATCGTATTGGGTAAAAAAATATCGTTTTTTAAAAGTTAGGTATTATTTATCACGTATCTACCTATAGTACTCACGACTGACATAATAATAATAACAATATGTGCATTTAGAAAAATGATTTTGTTTATAGACGACTGCGGTAATTCTGTATCTTATTATGTTCATTACATATTTGTCTTTTTTATCGTCCGTCTTTAGACGTACAGTTATTATTATTTTTTATTTTATGGTGGTCTACTGGATATTTCGCGACTCGTGTACACTAGCTATATAATAATAATAATAATATAAAGTACATATTAAACCGTATTAGTTATTTATATATATATATATGCACACTGTTTGGTGTGGTGGTGGTAGTGGTGGTCATAGAGGGCGGAATCACGAGCAAACGAATAATATAAATTATAATGAAACGAGTCTAATTTTTTATTACAATATTCCTACCGGTACGCGCACCGTGTAGGTAACCTATACATAATAATAAATGTAGCCCGTAATTATAAGTCGTAAAAAGAACCACGCGGCTGGCTGGAAACGGCCCGAGGGGACTCCACTTCGCCATTTCAGATCCTCCACACGATTTATGTATTTTTTTTTTTTCGTATTAACTTATAGGTACTGGTATTATACTTCAAACATTATATACGTAATAAAATGCATCATTATATTATATATTACGTGTATGTGCGCCGTGCCAGTAGGACGTATTCTTTACTTCGTTACATTATTATTGGGCTGCATATTCGACGCCATATTGTATAGACTTAACATTATACTCGTATTAAATTAAATGTATATAATACGCGTGCGCACCTATATGTATAAATAATATGACGGGTTTGAAGTTACGTTTCTTAATCAGATTGTTATTATTTTTTCTTAGAACGAATGGGAACAACTACGACTGAAACTCGTTTATTGTATTTGAGTACGTTTTTTTAGATAAAGATTTTATATTTACAAGGAAATGCTTTGTAATATATTCATTTATTCGTTTCGACAACTATCGATAGGTTGGATTTATACGATTACATGATTCAAGTGGCGCCATCGCTATTACTTTTCCTGATCTTTTTTCAACACACTGCGTTTAATATATGATACCCAAAGTTTGTATTATTGGGTAATCTCAATCCGATCATACCAAAAGAATAATACAACCCTGGTTTGAAAAATTTAAATCAGCTCTATCCAATAACAAGTTTCAATTGACTGTGCCCTTTTTAATAATGTTATACCGTTCTCTAGCTACCTAAATTACGATGCACCTGTCTATACAAATTAGGAAGTCGCATCTAAATAGTAATACTAAAATGAGTATATATAATCCGTGGTATATTTAAGCACATAATATATTATGATTTACTTTTACGTATAGGTAATGGCAGTGTTGGAATACAAAAAAGTTTAGTTTGAAAAAATGTCATTATATAAACAAAAATTAAATGTTATCTATAAGCGGTTTTAAAAATATTATTAAAGTTATTAGTTATGGTTTTGTTTATCTTACTTATAAAATATAGTTATAATTATATTACTGTTTACTATATATTGTATACATTTCGTATAGGAACTCCAATTAGTCGTCTACCCATCATGGCCAAACGTGTGTTGGATTTGTACACCCTGTATAAGTTGGTCGTGCAGAGAGGAGGCATCGTAGCGGTCATCACCAAAAAGTTGTGGCAAGAAATCATCCGAGGCTTGGGACTACCTCCTTCAATAACGAGTGCCGCGTTCACATTACGCACACAGTAAGTACATAATACTATATAATATAATTTAAGCATTTAACATTTACAGCGTCTAATCGTGAACAAAATAAATAATATTTAATACATCCAAAGCAGTTAATATATATATATGTACACCTAAGTAGGTGAAATATAAATGCTATACAAATATATAAAATAATAATACATTAAGCTAGAGCGACTTTCTAAACATTTTGAAGTTAAGTAGTACAATTATATTTTTAAAGACCTTAAAATTATTATAAATGTTACTGAATATCATAAGTATTATGTTTATACCTAATACTATTATAGATTATAAGGTACAAGCGTATTTATTATATAATATTACATATACGTATGTATTACATTTTATGTTTATTATTATTTATAATTGAATATTCTAGACTTTTTATCTGAAGATACTGTATAAATGTATGAATATTTAATGAAATAATATTTATAAGTGAAATAAATATCAAAGGTAGTGAAATTTAACTTTTAAGTATATAATTATAGTTGTCTATAAAAATTGTCTGAACTTCCTAGTCTCTTATGACACACATCATTATACATAAGTACCTGCTACATAAACCTAACAGACATATTCATTTTTGATTTTAAACTTATGAACACAAATGAAATGTTCGGGAAAATCACTTTTTAAATTCCGTTACAACATTCTCCGACATAACCGACGATGGTCATTTCCATATAGTAGTTCTATAAATATCGTTGGTATAGAAATAATATTAAAAATATAAAATGTACAGATACGTCAAATACTTGTACGCGTACGAGTCGCGGATGAACCAGTTCAGTACCTTGGACGAACTGAATATGGCGATAGCGGGAAACCGGCGAGAGGGCCGACGGAACAAGTCGCTCATGTATTCGGACATGCCACCGCCACCACCCGGCCACCCTCACCACCATCACCACAGCCATCACCAACAAGTTCACGGTGGTCACCCGCACTCGATGATGGGCGGGGGTGCTTCACAGCAGCCGTCGTCGCAACAACAGCAACAACAGCAACAACAACAACATCAGCAACAGCAACAGCCACCGTCGTCCCATCACCATCACCACTACGCCAACGTGCTGGCCGCTGAGGATCGGTTTCGGCACCTGGCCGCCGCCATTATCGACAACCACCATCACGCGGCCGCAGCTGCAGCAGCCGCCGCGGCCGGTGTAGGTGTCGACCACCCAAGGCTGCGGATGCAATCGTGCAGTCCACCGCAGCATCAGCAACAGCAATTGCAATTGCAGCCGGAATGCAAGACGTCCGCGGTCGCGTTGCACCAGACTCCCCGATCACCAGCCACCGCTGGACTTCCACCGCCGCCACCCATGCCACCATCGTCACTATTCAACGGCCACCAGCCACCGTCGTACCAACACCTCCATCAACAGCAGCAACAGCAACATCAGTCCAACGCTGTCCAGTCCACCAACGATCAGACAAACAAACAAAGAGGTTAGTAGTGCCTATACGTATTATTTATTATTTAATATTAAACCATTACCTGATAAAGTTTAATTCTATTACGTCATCAAGTTCTCAAACCCAAATACAGGACCTTTATAAAACCACGCTGTTTATGAATAAAATAATTGTTCATACTAATAATATCAGTTCGTCAAGTTTATATTTTTCCCTCTAATATTAATAAGCTAATTTATATTTATACAAATAGTTTGATACCATTTATTTTTAATTCTATTTTCAACTGAGGAAATTAATTTTTACTTATTTATTCAATGAATACAAGAATTAATGTAAAATACACAACCTTACAATTAATGAAAAATTTCAAATTAAAAAGAAAAACTTAAAATATAATGATATTTAAATATTTAATGATAGTGATTAAATGCAATAGAGTAAGTGGATTTAATACTATAGATTTCTCACGGCTCTTTATCTTTAGATAATTTTGTGTAGTACATAATATTCTCAAACATCAAAATTCTTTTGTCGGTAACAAATAATTATTACTACTTGCCGCATGTTTTGTCAATAGGTACACAGTTGGTGATGACTAAGAAAAGAAAAAAATATGTTTTTTTTGTTTAGACACTTAGATTTCACTATATAGGTGTCTTTTAGGTATCTATATAATTATTGTTATCTCTTTGAGTTATACATATTATAAAATGCTTAGTTGTTATTGAGTGGTTTCTGTGTACAATTTTTTATTTTTATTTTTTTATAAACGCACCGTATTAATTAACGACTGTTTAATGTTATAATCGAATTTCGACGTGAATGCCATAAATTAATTTATATCACACAGATTTGTGTTGTGACATGACGATTTGAATAATATACGCTGCCAAGACGTAATTGGCAATCGGTGTATATTCCATACATAGTTCAAAAATTTGAATGATTATTTTACTACTTATAAGTATATAATATATATTATAGACATTGTTTGACCTTTAGTTGATAATTGAATATATATTATTTTACTGCCATGAACATAGTTATATGATATCGTACACTATATTTTCGTTACGTTCCATTGTATATACACACATGATATTAAGACATACCTACCTATTACATTATGTTGTTTTATTCAATTCATCGTTTAATAACTCAAATATTGTCGGTATTAAAATATTCGTTGTTCAATATATTATTATTCAAACGGGTATGATATGATGACCGATATAATAAAGGTCTGCAAAGGTTAACGATATTTTAAGTCTGACCTAATTAATTTCATTTACAACCGAGCTCGGTTAGGTTAGGTTAGGTTAGATTTTTGTTTCCAAATATAGAGCCCTTGTGTCAATTTTTTTTCAAGAAAAAAATATGTAGGTACCTCTCCGTACTATATTTTAAATACGAGTGTATTTTATACAATACATCGTAAATACGACCAATGACCTAATATAATAATAATTTAGAGGGGGAAATCCGAGCTGAACTTGGTTGTTTAGATCTTCCGTCAGCGTTTCGAACCTGCATCACGCAATAAGTAGAGACTATAAAATCCACGGTCACCATTAAATGGATGGTCCACCTTAGCCTGTAGATAATATGATAAAAATATTCATTAACCTAACCTGAAAGAACACTGGCCATAACACTGGTATCATAATATTCGCAAATTTAAAATTTTTTTGGGGACTTTTGCAGATGTCTGTAGTCTCGAGTAATGTTGATAATAAAAAAATAGTTGCTTGCAAATCATCAAGATGTAAATAAAAATATATTTATTGGGATAAAATATATTTTTGTTTTGGTCTTGCTAATATGACTTTTGCATACTTGTAGAGAAGATAATAATTCCCTGCAATTATTATAAATTTTCGTTGGTTGGATTCTTAAAATTTATTTCTCCATAATATTATAACTTGATACCTCTTATTAAAAATACTATTATAACACTAAAACGACATTTAAAGTATAAGTTCCAATATTTTATTAATTATAATTGACTTTTTTTTCTAAATTGAGTATAAAAATTAATATAAGATAAATCTGTAAGGTTAGGTTGATTTGAGAGACTTTACAGAGATTTGAGGGTATATATATTCTATATACAAGCAGCATAATGAACACGTTTGTAATATTTTTTCAACTTAAACCAGTGTGGCGTTTGTAATTTATTTTTATTTTTTTGTATAGACAAAAAAATATGTTATTTTTTTATAAATTACACACACGGTCTAGCGACAGATGGACGTGTGTTGAGGTATACGAATTGTAAAAATAAAAAAACGAAATAAACCTATGTGCCTTTTTCGTAGAAACGATTTCTTGAAAATGCTCTGTCACAGCTCGCCGTGGCTGCGGGAAATCATATATTTTTATATTTAGCTGGCCGTTGCCGTCGCCACAGTCGCTATTTGACAGCCGACAGGTCTTCCGAAGAAATGTGCAGCTCTTTTGCGGGGAGATGACATGACTTACTAAAGTTATACCTTTAATAATACTAACTAATATCAATCTAAAAATGGTTTATGTCGTAACTTTTCATTCTCAACATTTTCGATGATCATAATATTATACAATATAATAGGTATAGTTATATTCTAGAACTCACGTGATTATAACTGATAAGCTTTTTACGTTTGTGCTTAAATTAAAATTCTATGATTAATTAATATTGATATTAATATGAGAAATAGTTAATTGTTTTGTTTAATTATTAAAAAAATTTATTTTTATTAATTAACAGCATTTATTTTGAAATTAAAGACAAATGTTCAATAAAAATACCAATCACTAATCATTTACATAATGTAATCTATATATTTTGGTATCGGGTCTTCATGCTTAATAATAGCAAAAACAATTTTAATTATCTATCTAACTTTTGTACACATTTTTTTAAGATCATTTTATTTATGTTGATAATCATAACATTTTTGTTTTTTTTAAATGTATAAATTAGGTGTAATAATTTTTTTGTAATATTTAAGTAATGAAGTATTTAGGTCATTTGATAAGAATAAAAAATATAATAAATTTCTATAAGTCTATAACACAAAATACAAATACTGTACTTATGAAAAAAAACGTACCATTAAATTAAGTTTTTAAAATAATATAAAAATAAGTTGTTTTTTTACAACAATTCATTACCATGTGTACCAACATTTTCTTACAATGATTTAGTTATGTTCTAATAACTGTTGATCTTATCATTTCTATAAGATTATACAATGCTTTTGGCATAGTCGCTAATACTTTCGAATTATTAAATTTTAAGATACATAATTTGTAATCCATTTATAATACAAATAATATTATAAATATGTACACAAAAAATGAGCAGAAATGGCACATTGTCAGTGTTATATGACTGCTTCTTTAACAACCGCGATATTTTAACTTTGTTAATATGTTCAATGTCCCATCGGTCATCGTACGACCACTCAATTAAAATCAACAAATTGTGAAAATTAACTTATTATTATTGATAGGCATGTTATGAGACAAAATATATTAAATTTCACGAATTCGGTGTTATGCAATGTGGGTATATAGGAAGTCGGCTGTCTGTGATTTCATAATAATATATCATATAGTATAAGCAGGCCGTTTTTGAAACATTACCAAGAACGTAGTGGGTACCTAAATTATTACAATATATATGTGTGAGCGTATATACGAGTCGGCGACGAAATGCAGCAACTATAAACGTTGGAGTAGACAAAGAAAAAAATAAAATGTATATATAATATTATGTGGAAACGAAAAAAGAATATCGCGCGATGCGTTCTAGTTTCTGCTCATTCATCAGACGTCTTCATTAGTTACGGTTGCGGCGTCGATCAAAAACGCGTTAAAGGTAAACTCGTTGGAATCGTATCAAGAAGGCTCCGAGCTGAGCTGAGCTGGTCGGTTAATTATTACACGTGGTGTATATGCGGACGGAACACATTTCCCGTTGTCACCCGTTAATAACGCGCCCGCCGGTCTTAAGTCTTATTCGAGTATATATTATTATTATTATTATTACTATTATTATTGTTGTCTGCACGACGACTGTGTATTTATATCCATTCACGTCGTGTCCCCGGTGAATCGTGAACGCCGTCGTTTTCGGGACGTGTGATGAGGTCAACAGTCATCGTTTCACTTTTTTTTTTTCTACGAGATGCAAATAATCAAACCTATATATATACATCGCCATCAGATTCACAAGTTTTCCCAAGTTAGATTTTTGGGAAACGAGTCACACTCCCTGCGCGATAGTGTTATCAAGGCTGCGCATTTCTTTTACATCGTCAAACCAAGTTACCTAATAAAAAATGTATTCGAAAAACCTCATTCAAGTTATCACGACTATCATGCAAGAAAAATATGCATTGCTTTTTAAATTATATGAAAAAAAAAATGTAAATATTCTACTCAAATAGCACAAAATAGTATATCATGCCAGTGTTGTGTGCCAACCAGTCGTTAGTGTGAGCACTCGATGTTTGTTTCAAATTTCAATATACAAATATGCTTATTTATTAAACTTCCAACAATAATTATAAAATATAAGGTCTTATATTGTTCCCAAAGGTTAGTTAGTGTTGAGTGGTGTTACTACCGACCTTTAAATATCACAACTATTAGACTTTTAACGGTGGTAGAGATATGATCTGTCTCTGAATTGTCTTAGCTGCCTATACCTGACCGCCTCTTTTAATGGACTCATTTATGTATCATACTGTCAAACGAGTGGTGGCTATTTACACTAAGTTAGGTGGGAATTAAATTTATTTTTCGAGTAGCCTGCCTTTTGGTAACCCTTAAATCCATATTTATTTAGAGTACGTATGGCATGGCACTTGCCTAGATATCCATATTAAACATTTAACGATAAATGATAAGCTTCGGGTTCTATGTACGTTAATGTTCAAAATATAAATAAATAAATGCCTTGAAATCGATAAAATATATAATTCTATTTTAGTAACACTTAGATTTAGATCATTCGTGCCCATTTTGAGAATCAAAATCGGATTTTACGATAAAGTTAATTAATTTACTATTTTTTTAAAATAGGTCTAAGTTTTATATGTTTTCTGAATAAAAACACAATTAAAAAATCATTAAGAACAGAAACTATATGGGCGATTCTTCCAAGTTTAATTCTGCACTATGCCAATAGTACATACTTACCCATGCATATAATATCTAACCACACATATATAGGTGAGAGGAAGTGAAATATAATCTAAATTACGCGTTCTCAGTGCGATGATAATGTTCAATATTATGATATTATGGGCCATTAGTCACGTCCGTTTGTTATTCACATTTTTGACGACTTCTATAGACTATATGACGTATAATATCGTTGTGTGACAAAATGCCGCTGAGTGCATTAATTGCCACAGCACAAGTCCGATTAGTTGTGCCGATAAAATAGCGTGGGTTATTAATAATAGTGTACTAATTTACATATCGAATATTATACCTATAGACTGTAGTAACGGGTATGTGCATACTGCGTGGTAGCTATATAGTTGTTTAATCGGTCGAGCCCGATAAACATTTTACGGCTGTGGATTTAGCGTTTTACAATATCATATTATTATTATATTATATTGATGCACCGCCGCGGTTAATCGAAATACTGTGCATTGTAATATTTTTTTTTTTTATGTATTTTACGCAAACAATTCGGTATTTTGATTGTGGTAATAATAAAATAGTAGTGTAATATAAAGTGCTCATTACTTACTAAAGGACCTACCTAATAATATTATTAATAATAATAACGACACTAATAACAGTATAACTATATAGTATTAGGTATTATAAATATTTGTCGTTAGTTGTCCGCGTATTACGGTTGTGTGATTGACGTCAATTCGTGTTTAATCGATGTGTACCCAAGTTTCACACGTACAAGTTATTATTAATTACACGTACCTATGTATTATTATGTAATTACGATTTGACGATTAAAAAAATATGTTTTTGCTAATCAAATATGATAATATTGAAAAATAAAGCTACAATATCCAACTATCGGCACCTATAATACGTGTGTGCATACATCATTTTACGTTAATAATGTCCGGTTTTTTAGTAGAAAAAAGTCGTGAAATGAAAAACACTGATTATTATTAAAAATGTGAAATTCCAATACTGCAGAATACTATTCTCGGATCGATTAAACTCGTATTTATCATAATTATTTTATAATATTAATATAGTTATTCATTATAATCTATACCATAGATTGTGCTTCAGATTCTATTTGGAGTGCAACGTGCATAATATAATATAGATTCTGTATAATTATTGTATTATGTATTTCTATTATTATTACGCTTCTCCGGTGATGAGACGCGTTAGCATCCACTGATCGAAGGACATCGATAGAGATGTCCTCCGATAACACAACTGCCGCAGTGTCACTATTCATCCGACGACAGCGTGTGACACACTATTATAATATATCTACGACATAATAATACGTAGGTATATATATATATATATATCAGTTTAATAGTAATAATAGCTTTTATAACATTCAAATGACGATGAATTCGATAATTGTACATAGGTACTTGCAGATCTACAAAGGGGTGAATTCAAAGGGGGTTCAACCAACCTGTCACAGCCAAAATATGAGGACCCCCCCAGAAAAAAACATAAAGTATCATTCATTTAGAGCGGTACAAAGATCATTATATTTTATAAATATTATGACATTCGACATTTTTTCCAGCTTTTGCCTAAGCATCATGAAATCCAACTTATGATCGAATGGTCATTTGGGTATACAAGTATAGCTTGTGCGGTGATACAATAATTTTCTTAGTAACCCTGTACAGCTACACGAATGCCAATCGACTTTGTCCTTATAACAGCACTTTTTTACGAGAGTTAGAATTATTTGCAGCGTCGACGACGTATCGCAATAATCACAATAATGAAATGTGCTCATGTGCATAAAATAGTAATAGTTTAATAGACTGTTATAATAGTTATACCGCCATCAATCATATTTCAACAGTTAATACCAAAGGTATATATATTATATGTTATAGGATATCGTATGGAGCAGTAAAACACATGTGTATCAAGATTAATATCGTTTTCGGCAACACATTATAATATTATACTATACATAACACACCGACACATGTGTTATTTTTTGATATGTCTTAGGCGCTCTATTCCGAAATATTATTTGAAATATCAAATATAGGTTTACACGAAAAATGTGTTTTATACGGGATGAATGCGAAGTCCCCAGACTGCCTAATCGTTTCATCGTCGACCGTCTCGTCGAAGACAGCCTTATTATTTATTTTATTTACTACACGGGTCGATGGATTCCAAGTCAACTTGCATGATGAAACGACGTGGATCGTTTTAAAAAATTAAATATTATATCCTACAGTAGTTTGTGCTCGAAAATCACCATTGAATAGTCTATTGCGATGGCAGTGTGTAACTATAAATATTAAATACGCATGGACGATGCAATTATATCTCGATGGCTTTTAGTGCGCGATCATTAGACGTTACCTACTCCCCAAGTCAGGTATTATAACAGTATAATAATATTATTGTGAATATTTGTTTAGAAAATTAACAACCGAGCCCCTATTAATAATCAAAATTTGTTCGCACTGTTTTCATCGTAAATTATTTGTTTTAAAATTATTTTCTAATTTCTTGTATTTTTTTGTGTTTTCCAGAGCTCCTCAGCATGCTAATGTGGATGGACATTGTCAGAGCAAATCAAACGGCAATGCCGAGACTACCCATTTCGAGTGAGTGACTAAATATTAAAAACATTTTTTTTTCGACGTCATGACCACTAGCTGTAGGTACATAGCCTGCCATCTGTTGACGAAGTGGTGCATCTCACAACTTGGTTGGCGCGTTTGAGAATAGGCAGAGAGAGTGTATTGTAACACAAATATTAGTCGCCGTAGCGTAAGGAGTTTTAAATAGGCAACCGATAAATTTTCTCTGTGGAATTAATATGAAACATTTACAAAACAATTTATTTATATCACTTGGTGGCTGGCCTCTCCACTATCGGCTATATCCGATGAAAGAATCACGAGCGAAAATTAATATATCTGGGTTTAAAATCGTTCAATAAATATGAGTTATAGAACAACCATTATTTACAGTGTTTACATATTATTATAATATGGTGTTTAAATTGATTTAGACCATCAAACAATTAAAACGTTTCTATACATCCTGTAAAAAGTTCTATGCCTTCATATTTTATGCTAAGAATTCTGTAATTACATTTTTACTATATGAACATAATAATATAACATACAGAAAGTGGGTCCTCCTTGGTCACACTCATATAATTGCAATTTTACACTCGAATAAGAGCATTTAACGTCCGAATAAAAGATGTATAATTATATTTTTATAATGATCGTTTGTTCATCGTCACATGCAGTTTTTTTTTGTCGATCTCAAATTCTAAAAGCTGACCATGAATGACACGTCATTATATAGTTAACATTGCCTGCGGTCCACATTGGTCGTTTCGAAACACAAATAGTGATCATTAATGAAATAATGACTGTACGTGAATAATCTTAATTCATTTAAACCATCATTGGTTTTCAGACGTTTTCAACGTTATACCTGCGTCATAGGTATGAGCAGTCTGTTTAATTTATTGCAATCACTTTAAGTGGTTCCCCACTAAAAATCCAAAAGTATCGATCGCGAGTACTAGATTGCATGAAAATAAAATAATTTGTTCATGTTTTTAAAACAAGTGCCAAAAACGATTAACATACACACATTTAATGTTAAAAATCAAAATGTAATGGTGCTAATTACGCAAACACTTAACGACGACATCACTGTAAAATACTGTTTAGTGGGACGAATTAAACGTTTTATTTCGATTGTCATAGGGTCTTGACGGCTCATTTTTATTTATTGTTTACAACGAATCGCGACCACTGATGGATAAAAATCTTATTTAGACTATAATGTAGCCATGCCTTGGGAATATCTAAGTGCTATACGAAGTACGAAACGATAGTGTCTTCTATTTGAGACGGGTCGAACTCAAAATGTGTCGAACCAAACTTATTTGATTTAGTACACGTCGAACCCGAGTTTAAGAACACATAATATGTACAGACTTATATCTACCTACTAGAATATGCCTTGTAAAATGTATTTTCCACACAGAACTGTCATTGCAGGTATTTATTCACTATAATGTATTATGGTAAATTTATTTCGGTTTGAATTTTGAAACTTCACGTATCCCTGAATACCCTAATACAATGTATAATATATACATATTACAGAGAACTATTCCGTCTTTCACGTGAAAACTTCACACACCTCGCACACAACTGTCTATAGTAACAATTATTAGTACCTATAGGTTATAATCAATACACAACAAGATGCGGTAGGACATAGTAAATACTGTTTATGTTTGTTGAGAAAAACGTGTGATCTGTCAATGCACTTAGAACATCATAATTTTATATATTATACAGAGTATTATATCATATGATGGGTAGGTAAACTGTACGGATTGTGGATCGGTGAATATCGTATTCAATTCAGTGGACCGTAACTACATAATATCATTCTTTGCTTAATAACCAACGTGCTATAGTACCTATTTCACCCATATTATACTGTTTGTCTGTACCAGAAAAAAACCGAAAACACAATTTAAATTAGGTTTAAATATTTCTTTAGGTATTCAACTTTGCATTTTATGTTGTTACTTCTAAGATATTTCTTGATTTTATTAGTACTTACAATAAATTAAAGCTACAGAAACCGTTCGAAATCATGAGATTATATTCATTTATATTTCAGTGGCCATGATATTTATGCCATGATCGTATGCTATATCGCAATAATACATAACGTTGTGGACTAACAAGACGTGCGATTGTGGTTTTCACAGGTTTGCCGTCCAGTCCGTCAGCAGCTGCAGCGGCGGCGGCGGCTGCTTATACGGCGGCAGCGGCGCTTAACCTCGCGCCCACGTACAAGGGACAACCGATGTCGGTGGCTGTCGTACCAGAACAGAGCGAAGCTTTGAACTTGGGCAAAAAGAGGACGACGAACAACAACAACAGCGAGGACGAGGACGTAGACGGTGACGGTCCGGACGAGTATCGTGGCAGACGCGAGTCGGTGTCATCGGCGGCGAAGCGCATCAAAACGGAACGGTCTTCGCCGCCCATCAGTGGCTGTTCCAGCGATGAGGAAAAGGCCGCTGGAAAGGTGACGACCAACGGAAGTCCGTCGCCGACCCAACCTTCAGCCGTCGACGACGCCGAATACCGATCCGACACGAGGCGTAGCTCGTCACCGATCGACGAGGACGTGGTCGAGATGGACATCAACACGTCGGCTTCGGCTGGTAAGTACCTACTTCGATGTTTATACACATAGTATTATTGAAAACTAATTTTACTGTAATAATACCTATGTCGTATAAACGGCTGTGGGGCCCAAAAACAACCGACCTATACCGAAGGATAACTACTAGAAATGTGAATAATCTGGTACTTAACAGCACAACAAGTATTAATTTCTGAGTTATAACAGTAACAATAAAATATAAGAAATGGTCACAATGGTCAATCCTAAACAATAAAACGTTCTTTTGTTTGACAAGTTGATTACACAAATTGAAGACAACTATGGTACTCGTATATTTGAGATTTGAGATTTAAATAAAGTATTTTAAACATAAAAATGTCTCGGTATTGTTAGAGATAAATAAAGATGAGGATAGTTTGACATCAAAGGTGATACGTTATTATGCAATCAGAAATCAGAATAATTATCTTCTTATGAACTTTGAATTCGGAGAACTTTTTGTTCTGCAGGATGTTGAGTTGTGTTATTGAATTTAAAAAATCATTTATAATGCAATGTAATATATTAAACTGCATACCTAACTATACAAGTGGCTATTATGATTTGACCATAATCGATTCGTCATTTCAACATTTTCCAAAGAGGCAAACATTGTTGGAACCAACTTCCTGAATTTAAACCGTCCTTGGAAATAATATGTTAACACACACTGCAGGGTGTGCCACGTCCTTTGCCAGTTCACGCGTCATGAGAAAACTGTGACCCACTCTGGTGTGTAGGTATATTAATATACTTGTTTACTGGCTATGTGTACATTTCTCGTGTAATTTAGTCTCGCCCGGGCAATTTGATCCGTATTGATTCAAACAATAACGACGATATCACGTATATAAATATTATATTATATAGCCTATATATTAATATACCACATATTGGAACGACTACCATGATATTTCGATGTACACAGTGTCTCTAACTTTCGGCGTTTGAACTAAATTGATTGTTTTGCGCAGTTTGACGCACGTGTAGTGTGCACGTTCGGTATCCTCGTCCCCCGAGGTAGGAGAACGTACAGGTAGCTTTTCGTTGACTGTTGGCAAACATAATATAATAGGTATAATCGGTATTCATCAGCAAATTAGCTGCCATGTACCTCCAAACTAACATTTACAAAATATAATTGTAAACGGGCTTCTAATGTTATTTTTTTCATACGTTTTTATCGATTTCATACTCTAACACTATTACTGTGTACATTTGCAAGGCTATTTAGATTATTTTATTTTCCTTGAAATATTTATACCTTACCCGAAAGAAAAATTCTTATATTTATAACTGTTTCAGTGTTATCTCTCTGTTCTATAATTGAATCTTAACTCTGAGTTCTAATAATAAAAATTAGTTTTATTTAAATTTTTTAAAAATATACGTTATATAGGCAGAGAAAAACATTTTTATATATGAAATAGTTTGTGTTTTAGTTCTAAAATGGATGTACAAGACAAAAGTTTTCATTTAATTTAATCTAATATTAATGTAACTAAATTTACTATACATATTCTCTTCTCAAACTTTTAACACCTTGTATTTAGTTTTACTTCTGTTATATATAATTTGTATAGTCTATTACTAAAACGGCAGTCTGTCCTCAATAATTGTTTTTTTCTGGCTTTTTTTAAAATAAATAAACATCAAATGTTTGTTTAATGTACGCATTGACGCATGTATTCAAACGTAAAAATAATTGTTTGGAAAATCTGTGATTGAAATTCATATGATGCTCTGAAACTAATTATATTATTACATGCGTCATCACTCTGCTACCGATACGGTCCACATTAACCATTTGCAATGCATTTTTAGAACGGTTTGAAATTGTGATAAACAATCGTTAAGTAGAACACTTTAATCATCAGAATAAACATGTTTTTTTTTAATTGCACATTTTTAGTGCATTAATTGATTTTTTTAAAAACTTTTCACGCCATTATTTATACTTAGTCATTAAATCCGCGCCAGGCTCATAGACGTGCATCTGCCTCCAAAGAGAAATAACGCCCATCCTCATTTTGACATCTATTGTTTGCAATACTTTTCATGCAACATTTAATGCGAAACATATACAAGCAGAGATTGATAGAGAGACAAAGAGGCAAAGAGACAATGCGAGAGAGAGAGAGAAAGAGTATTTGTGGAAATGCGAAGCATTCTTTCGCTTGTATACTTAGTTTTCACAGAAAATATAAAAAAAAACAAAATTTACATCTCCATGTGTATATATATATATATATGTATGTAATTTGCATCTTGTTACTGGTACTTAGAAAAGTTGACGCGAATACGAGCTCGGGTAGAGTTGTAAAATATGTTTATTTTGCGCGGTCAAAAGAAAAGAAGTCAAACTCCGTGGTTCCTTTTTCGGAAAGCACTGTCACGAGTTTTTTTCCATAATAATATATACTGCTGCATAACAACTCCATTGTATACTATAATATTGTTGCGTGTGCTTGCTAAAAAATATGTTGTTCTTGCGGGATAGAAAAATGTTTTATACACAGTAAATAGTTTTACCCTACATAATGTTGGTGGCGGTTGATCTACATTACCGTAATACATTTGTCGCTAGAATTTCGTGAAATAATATATTATAATATACAGGTACATTGTATAAAGATATAAGTCGGAATATATATTGTTAATATACCATTTTATACGTTTATTGTATCACGTAATAGTATTTATAATGCATTACTCGTGCACGTGCGGAGTGCGGACTATAATATATGTAGGTATTATATAACGTACAGCCCACGCTATAGGAGATGGACACTAATTTTGTCAAAAAATATTAATTTAGTAATTATTACAAAAACATTGTTGAAACAATTGTATTTTTTCCGTTAGTTGTCGTTCTTATTTTTTAAGTGTTTTACTTATTTAAATGACATCAAACAATCTCAGTGAATTTCAAAGTATAGGTACAAGTTGGATTTTAAAAGAGCCGTTAATTAGTTATAATATTATTTTAAGTTAAGAAGAGCTGTGTACACTATTCTACACTGTCTAATCAAAGTTTTAAATTTTTATAAAGCTATAAATTCTTGTTAAAAGTTTGAATTTTTTTTTTGTAATCTCTTTGCTATAATTATTTTAAAATAAAATGCAAATTAAAATTAAAAAAAAATAAATATATATTCTACTTTATATTAGTAAAACGAAAATGTGATTCTAAAATAGTTGTAAAAAATACACACATTATTGTAGAATCTATATATTTATTGCTCCACTCAGAATCTAAAATAACAAAAAACAATAACGATAAGAAATTGTGAAAAGTATCTCAAGGTTTTTTACTTTTTGAGAAAATTAGTGTTTACCTTAAAAATAATCACGTTGTCGACTACTTTCAACTATATCTTAGACTTTTCTAGACTTGCAGTTGTTGTTTATCTTAACTCAATTTGTTTTTATCATTACACAGGTCCGTCAAGTAACAATGGCTTGTCGATTTCCGTGACGCGCAGAACAAAAAACGGCGTATACATGGGCCAACTCACCAAAAATAATGCATTGGTCAATGGAGGCAAGTATTATATCTTAACAATAATATGATAGATGTAACCAGACACGTGGTTCAGTTGTTGGTCAATGTTATGGCCCGGTAACTTGCTGGCGTAAAAATATTATAAATCATTATAATTGTGCTAATTTTCACTGGCTTGGATTTTTTTCGTCAGTAAGATACACTGCAATATATACGTGAATGCGTGATGCAATAATGAATAGGTTGGAGATAAGTAGCTCATGAAATTATTCGTAGTTTTCACTATAAATAAATATAATATATATTTATTTTCATTTTTAAAGATCATACTGAGCGTGTATAAATGTACAAAAACCGATTATTACGACTGTTCATCACCTTAGTTTTGATACATATTCAGGGTAGTTAAGCGCATTCGGATACGTTGTACCGAAGACGCCTCGCCTATAAACACTTTTAGACAATTTGCAAAATTAAATCCAATCCAGATGTTCACTGAATACTGTTGTCGTTATATTACTTTCGGTTCGGTTAGGTATTTCGCTCAAAATTTTAGCTATCACATATTATATTAAAATGATCATAGCTATATATATTTTTTTTTCACCTCGGGTCTGTGCTATAAATACCTATAATTAATTATTATTGATCAGCTGTTCCTATATGACCGTAATACGTTATTGTGATCGAGTAATCGAAATCTATTTGACATTAATTATTTTCTTGACAATTGCATAAAGTCACTTATCGATCCCCTTCATAAAATCGTATCACAAGTCTTGTCAACGACGGATATAATATTATTTAATATTGCAGTATACATGTAAATAATATAATGTAATATATATATAATATAATAGGTATGTACTGTACGGATCAGTCCATCGACCTAGATTGTAAAATGTATTTCCGAAATCCCCCTCGCCCCCGCCGTCCTCACTCACGACAACTACAACATAATATAGCTGCTATTCATAATGTACTCCATATTATAGTAGCGGTTTTTCATTATTTCGTGGCGTTTAATCCCGGAGTGACTCGAGCGAGAACGAGAGTAAATCCCCTGCACTCTAAGTACAATGCTGCAGCCTTATTTAAAATCACGTTTAACAAACTATACTACTACAGTAAGATATACACACTGTATGTATCCAGCTTATGATTATTTAAAGAATACATCGATAATTCTATGAGCGTATTCGGTCCATAGAAAATTATTTAAAAACAAATTAAATAAATAAAAACTTACATGCGAGATGTAACAAATCATTCTTACCCATGCCGACATTTCATATAAATACACCCAAATCACTGTTACGAACCAGGTGCTTCTTTTACATTTTTTTCTCTACAAACCTTATTTTACTATACCATCAACTAATACAATACATCACAGTATATACATTACTCATATGTATGTCATAAGTCATAACAGATAAGAAATTTAAACGGCCATACCTTATTATTATTGCAGTCCTTCGGTTTACTTTTATAATAACATATTTATACTTATAATAACTTACATTCATCGCTAAAATTAATTAACACAAAAACCGGAAATTAATATAGGTATTATATTATTATCTTGATTCGACTTCAGGTCTTCAATAGATATAATGCTGCATCAATGACTTTTTCAATAATAATGCTTTGTACACAATTATAATATATTTGTAATTTAATGTTCGTTGTTCAATTGTAATTTGTGCTATAGATCCAAAGAAAGTTTCATTAACTTAAACAAAGTGAACTATTTCAACACTAACTCAGCACTAATGAGTAGTCTAAGTTGTATTCGTAATTAAAATATAAATGCTACAATAAGTTAGGTACTATAATACCTAATCTAACATATCAAGTACATGTACATTTTCGTTTCTAAGGACATATTTTATAAATTCAAGAAACTGCAAGAAATAGTAAAAATATTACTTGCTATACGTATGTCATACGCGTTATGCTTTTATTTATATGGTTTATTGAAATCGACAGTCGATCCACAATATATTTTCAAATTAACATTTATCAAATTGTATGTTTTAGTTGTTGTGGCTTACTTAATCGACTAGTTTTTACTTAACAAGCATAATACGCAAGAGCCCTTACTTAATTTTTTTTTGGATTGGGGGACCTAAAACTCTTTATAAACTCTTAATGTTTTTGGTCTAATTCGCCCTACTACTTCATCTACTAGGTAAAGTACTGCTAATTGCTAGTAGCTATTGTATTTATGTATGCGTTCATACTTATTTGGTATATATATGTATTATATAGAAATGTCTGTAGTATGTGTCTTTCATTCGCAAACCAACACAAATCGAAGTGGCGTAGGGGTAAATGTACACAGTGCGCATCCGTTCAAGACCGAAACAATCAGCAAAAACTATAAAACGACTTTTGATTAAAATTCTAACAGCAAGTCAGTGGTTTCCAGGTCGCTTCCTCTTACAATATTTCGACTTATTTGTTATTTATAAAAGCATCAAACAATGCGAGATGGAATTTTTAAAAATTTGAATGTATTTTGTAATTTCTAAAATATTTAAAACCCGCCCCGTACAATGTTTTTTGGCCGCTGAGGGTTATGAGTAACTTAACTAGCTATAGGTGACTTCATATCGAAATTCACTTATTCAACCTTCTTCATAATTTTCACTCGTTATAGGTAATATTTATGTTTACAAATAATACAATATTTAATAATATTATTATGCATAATCGTGCATTTATGCCATGTGCGACGAAAAGTCACCTCTCTGCTACCTCTACGCTACACGGGATAAGGCTTTTATTTGTAGTTATATTTATATCTTATTATAAAATATTATGTTCTATGATATTAGTCCGCTTGTTTTATGCAGATGACGTTGCAAACTCTCAATGGCCATTGAAATCATTGCAACAATTAAAATAGTTTGGTTAGTAGGAAGTATATTTTAATTAGTGGTACCTACATTCGGGGCCACTGATAAGCTGCTGGTTTTAGTCAATTATACCTTAGTCCATGCTCTACCCTAAATAATATAGGTTAGGTTTCGAATAATATCAAAAGCAAAATCACTAAATGATGTCATACCAACGTCTTATACCCCTACAATATATTTACGCAAAATGGATTTTGGCACGAAGAAACACGTGCGACTATAATTTATAAGTCTAACAGCGGATATAGAGCGTAGCTCGATTATAACATAAAATGAAAACGCCCAACTACCTAATTATTATGTGATATATTATTTTATTAAAATATACAGGGCTATTGTTTCATCACCAAACTGTAATATTCTGTAAACATATTTTTTAAAACCATGACGTACTATTTTGTATTAATATATTTGTTTGGTTTCTTACTTCTTTTTCAATCATTATTATTTCAAAAACTAAAAACTTTAAAAAATGTAAATTTTTTTCAAAAGTATTATAAGTGGTTTGTCCGAGCCATTTTTATCTGGTGTTTTAGCATTATGTTATAAAGTTTGATATTTTACATATTTTTCATCTTAATTACACCGATTTCAATGGTTGTTTTTCAAACGAATTATAATTTACGTTTGAGTTTATACATCACTATCACATATTATTATGATTATTGCTATATTGCGTTTAACTGGGTAGGGTGTATACTACTGTTAGTAATATTATAAAAGTATATAAATAGTGTAATAACGATATAAAACATCGTGATTTCATTAAACCGCTATCATAATAATAACCGGGTCACTGAACCATGAATAAATCGCATCACGATCGATCACAGTATATTATACTAAGTTTTACAAAGGTTTATGTCTTGCGAGTACGATATATAAGTTTATTTTTAATCGACAAACAATGGTTATCCACCAATATTATTGCACTGTATCATTGTACTACAAAGATTATTTTATATTATTATTGATTACAGTAAATTATTATTCAATGTCTAACTCGTTCCGTTTCGTTTCACAGGATTAAACAACAACGTGAATCCATTCGTTTTGCACCTCAACGGCGATCTATACACCGGACAGTTGCAGTTGCAACAGCAGCAGGTGGCCAATAACTGAAGCACGTGATTTTTCTCTCTCAACGGCAATCTGCGAAGTGCTCCCGTGCAAAAATGATAAATTCGTCTGATTTTAAAATATTATGCCTATATAATATACGTGTAATATATGTATCGTGTTATTCTAGTACGATTTGGACGTCGAAATAAAGATACATCGTATCATGCATAATATACGGGTCATATAATGGTGTAGGTACAGTGTACACTGTACCATTTGACTCAGAGACGATAAATACATTGTTCTTCTTCGCGATTAGCTTTCGACTGATTTTAAATATTTTGTTGTTAATATGAAGACAGCACATTGTCAAAAAATATCCCGTTGACTAAATTTATGTCCATGGCCGATTTCAGATATTATAACGTTATGTCGGATAGTAACTTTGGTATCAACACACATACCTTTTTCTAACAATATTGTCATATTATTGTAAATTGTAATATAATTCGTTTCTATTTAATCTTTCGTTCGAATAATACTTTTCTCCCGACATGTTTTGTATACGTGTTTGAGTTTGAGAAAGTTTGATATTTACACATTGTATGATTCAATATATTATAAAGAAATTGAAAAAAAATGTGTAGTATGGGTGTATGATATATTATAGTAGCATATATACAGTGCATATAGTGTAGTTATTTTGAAGTTTTTTATACGACTTGTGTTTCGTCAAAAGTTTCTTTTTATAGATTGATAATAATTGTACTATACGGTCTCGTTGGATTGAATACTCTGCGTGTGCGTGTGTGTGTGTGTGTGTGTGTGTGTGTGTGTGTGTGTGTGTGTGTGTGTGTGTGTGTGGCGTACGGCCGAATTCGGTAAAAAACGTTTAAATATATTTAGAATGCTTAAACCAAAATTGGAAGGGTTCGAATGACTTGTGGACACTTATTGTACATAAAAATTCGATTGTGAAAGTTTTTNTTTTTTATACGACTTGTGTTTCGTCAAAAGTTTCTTTTTATAGATTGATAATAATTGTACTATACGGTCTCGTTGGATTGAATACTCTGCGTGTGTGTGTGTGTGTGTGTGTGTGTGTGTGTGTGTGTGTGTGTGTGTGTGTGTGTGTGTGTGTTCGTGTGTGTGTGTATAAGTATATTGCGTATAAATATATTTAGAATGCTTAAACCAAAATTGGAAGGGTTCGAATGACTTGTGGACACTTATTGTACATAAAAATTCGATTGTGAAAGTTTTTTTTCGTTAACTCAATTTTGGTCAGCTGTAATAGGTTTGTCTGTGGCAGCAATAAGACCTAAAAAAGAAAAAAACATTTTATGGAATCATAAAATACGATTTCAATGAAAAATAAATAAGAGCTCTAAGTCATTCGAATTTTCCAGATTTTGTATATTACACCTACATAATATTACGTTATATAGTTGTTCGAAATCATGTAAATAATAATAAAACAATAATATTACTAAAACTATACTATTCGATATGATAACGACATATTATTGTGTACTTTTAAATATTTTATCATTAAGTGGTTGTAACTTTATAAGTATAATAATTTATCGATTTATCATGTTTATATAGTGTATTATACAGTTTATTAAGTATAGAGCTAGATTTTCTTTTACTGTAAATCTTACAATGAAGTGTAAAATTATAATTATCAATTATAATATAAACACAAATGGATGTAACTAATATGTGACTTATAGAACTTATAATTATTAAATGTAACAGGTGTTTAGTTAAATATAATAATATATAATGATGCAATAGGGAGAAACGAGATCTCATGTTCAAATTAATAAAAATATCTTCGGGATGTATGCATTTTACAAATTGGCAGTGCCGTGTATCGTGTTTTTCATAAAGATTTTCTATACTTGCATCGTTGTTATTTCAATTTTGGACTTTAAATAAATTAATGTGTGTACGAATCAAGTAAGCGCGCAATAATTGATACATCCTAAAACCGTCATCTTCGATGAGATGTCTTGTGCATGACCATATTTTATCAACATATTATATTAGAAATACTTTATCTGAGACATACTTTATTGCTGCCCATAATATTATACATAGTTTTATTTTATAATCTAGTATTACGCGTGTATATTTTATTATTATATTAATCAATTTATACTATTATTATCATCGTATCATTGTAATTTTACTTTATATATATTATATTATACAAATATAATATCTACGTTTATTATCATTAGGTACTTAATATAATATAGGTATGTGTTAATTATTATTTATTTTAACATTTATTGTCATTTATTTTTTTATCATTCGCATTCATGTTTAGTATTATTACGATTCAAAGTCATTGGATAGTACCTAATCAATATTTTAATGAAGCAATACTATTTTGATGGTGCATATGCGTACCTATTACACGGCTACACATACGTATATATGCACATCGATTGTAATAACAAAATAATATATTACTTATTATTAAACAATATGTCCTCATTACATAAACGTATTGTACTAATATATTATACTATTCGTGTTGCATATACATTTAAAATAATTGTTTAGTACCGTAACGATATGGAAAATTATTGCTGTAAGGAGTTGGAGGTATGGCAAACAAATTATATATTCCCGAATCTCATCTGCCGACTTAACTCATCCAGCGCGTAGTTATAATGATGGTTTTTGTTTTGTTTAAATTATTATAGACTAGGATATAATATTATATTCAATTTGTATTACACCGTGTAACGCAGATAATATTATTAACATATTGATGTACTGAAATTTAAATTTAAATATACAATGTAGATACAATTTTCATGGGGTTATTTTGTTAATTGGAAACGTGTGGCTGATCCTATCAACTCAGGGTACAAAAGGGAAACTACGAAGAAAAATTATACCGAGATACGTCCATGATTTAACATTATATTATAAGCATTAAGCAAAAATAATATCATCCATGGAAATATAGCTTTTTCAGTTGTGGACTAAGTGCAATATTATAACAACTATTCTGAAACGATTAGAAATACAATATTTTATAGCAAAATACATTTTAAACTTTGGCGTATTTTAGTTTAATTTATATATTTTACATGAGTTTAACACATAACTATAGGTGTATATAGTTTATTTGGGTAACTGGATTTAATTTAGTCTTCTCAAAAAATATCTGGAGGACGATGACATTAAACTACCTAGTGTCGAAACACTTAATAAAAGTAAGTAAATCAATTTATAGACATATTATTTTGGCTGTTTTTGAAATATTTATAGACATTGATGATCTCAATAAATTTAAGCATATCGTTTATGTTTAAAAAAACAAAAGTTATTAATTTTAATTTTTAATTATGTACTTTAAGACGTTGAAAATAATACACGAACGACTAATATTGTAAGATTTAGATATTATTAAAAGTCTCAGTAAAAAACCACGGACAATGTTCACAAATAGGTACTTTTAAAAGATCTTTATCCATTACTATTATTCTACATTTCTACGACCTCACAATGAATATTTCAACTGATAAAAAAATACCGCACAGTTGAATGTTCATGATTTGTTGTAGGGTTAAAAAATTCTAAGTAAGCCATTGTTATGTGTTATATGTGTTGTTAAAATTTTCATAACGATTCGTGCAAAAGCCTCCGTTGTTAAAATCAATTAAAATAAATCAAATGCTTAGGTAAGTACCCTACATAAGCAGTTTCTTGCAGAAGTTATTATTTATTTCATTAAAAAACTTATAGTATTTTTATACTGTTCTTAATAATGGTTCTATCGATTTGTGATAATAGTATTGATATTTATTTAATATCTTTAGAACCTTAAATTTCCAAATAAGATCACAGTTTAATAAATTTAACCGTTCTGATTTAAGAATGTTTTTTTAAAGAGCCACTTACAATAAAACTGTTTTCATTCATTTTTAGAATATTATGCGAAAAAGTCTTGTGACATTTTTGATATTGAAATGAATGAAGCATTGCTTAGTAGTCAGTACTATACGTAATCCTACAAAGGAGCTTGAATATAAGAGAGTGCTCAATCGTATTATCAAAAATACATTTTATGAGCTGTTATTATTTTCCACTGTTTATCGATCGCGGGTGTTCTGTCAATTCTCATTGATCAATATCATTAAAGTTATACATTTATGTATTATTCATATATTACCTGCTTTTTTATTTAAGATTTCTAAGGATTTTCATCGGCTGATAATGGTAGATTGAATGAAATATTGGTATGTTATTAAAATAAGTCTAATGTCTATTAACTATTGTACAATGCTCAGGTAACAACTAAAACGAAACATGAATTTACATTTTTTGTAAGATTTCCACTGTTATAAATACATAGTTTTTTATCATCTTGTTGCATAAATAGTAAAATAAAAATTAAGACACAAATTACTACATTAATTTACTCATGTGTCAGGTACGTGTAATAATATCATGATAAATGTATAACGACATTTGCAATGAATATGATCAAATGAATAATATAAATATTTATCATACATCCATATTCGTACAATAAATACATATGTTTTGTTCTTTAACTTTCGTGGATAACGATTGATTGCCCAACCCAGAAACACTGTGCTTGTGCACTTTGGAGAATTAAATAATTTTTAAACCATTTAATCTCGTTAAAGATTCGTATATATATATCCAAATCGATATTTTACGCGATTTTTATTGTACCGTTAATGATTTCCAATCTACACAACCTTGTATTCGTGTATACCTCCCTTTATGACATGTTTAACGAGTTTGTGTTTTATTCGTATTCATTAAATGCATGATTACTATAATAACTCTACGCCATTGCGGAAAGAAATGTGCCTTGGGAAAAGTTGTGGAATTTTCAGGGTTTGTATTGTCCAAAGTAAACTTATATCTTCGAGTTTGTTTCTAACAGATTAATATATGGATGACGTCGGGGGTATACAAAAGGGTTGTGTAAGGTCAGATCCTCCATAGTCTTTATTTTCAAAAGAGATTTTATGAAATAATCTTAGTTTAAACAAATTTTAATATAATTGTTGGTAATTTCATATAAAAAATTAGTTATTTCATTATAGCACATATTTCAAATAGTACCTATAATTTTATTATAACACATACATCTGTAATATATAAGATGTTGAAATCGTACAACTTAATTTCATATAATACTATCTGATTCTACACAGTTTTGCTCGTTACAAATTAAATGCCCATAGATTTACTACTAAATAAATTATGTCTTATACTTTAATTTAAACTGCAATGGTTTTGAACACAGTTATTTGGGGTTGTTTCGATGAAATATAAAACACCGGTTTAAAATTATATCCAATCATAATCATATCTTTTTCATTTTCAGTAACCAATTTCAACAATAGATGAACAAAAAATAATAGTTTTTTCGTGAATCAACTAAATTCAGTATTTAGGTATATACGAGTACCTATGTGTCCGCAAAAGTAATACAAAGTAGCTATTACTACCAATCTTTCTGAAGCTGTTGACAAAAATGTTACTAACATCGGTCGAAAACCTTGGATTTGTATAATAGGGTCATTCGTATTATGACTTAGGTTTTATGTAGGTAGTAGTTATACATTGTAATAATTATAATTTATAGCTGAATACTACACGACATCGC